GGAGGGAGTGGGACTGATGTGCTGAAGTAAGTTCTCATCTTTGAGCAAGTGGACTTAAGGAGTTTATGATACCTTTGAGCCCTATCATTCAATATTAACTTCCCCTATGTCTCCATCTTCCCAGTGATAAGCTCCAGGTTACTGGAAACTCTTTAAGACAAGGGAAAGCGGTAATGAGGTACATAAAGTATGAGCTTTATTGATTGTGTCTGCAATGCAGCACTAAGTGTACTCCCAAAGTCCCCATTCAGCACAACAGAGAGACAACAGGTTCTCTTGCGGACTGGTTTATTGGCTTCCTCCAAACCCTGATCAGTTCCATTGTGAAGAGACAGCCCTAAGGGAACAGATGTAGCATTTTCCCCATTTTCCACATACCATCAGTTTTTAAAATTAAGGCCTTCTCTTGTGGAATTCTATGCCCTCTGCTCCAACTGTTCCACTTAAACTTGGAACTGTAAAAGTAAAGGATAAGACTGCATTTTTCTCAGAGCCTAATGCTGAGGCCTAAATAATCTATTTATTAATTTATTATCCTTTTATTCCACTTTTCTCCAAAAATGAGATCCAAGGTGGCTCAGAATAATTTTAAAAAGATCCATCTAAAACATTCATTTACAAAAGTTAACAAGGAATTAAACATCAACATAATTAAAACATGGTTAAAAACAGCTGAAACACTTAAAACATATTTGAAATACAGTTTCAGTAAAAGATTTATACACACACCCAGCCCATCACTTCACACATGACAACTCCACAATTAAAATTCAAAAGCCTCCCTGAATAAAAACATCTTCATCTGTTGGCAGAAAGGCAGGAGGGAGAGGGTCATTTGGACCTCTTGTGGAAGCGAGCTCCAAGCCTGGGAGTAGCCATGGAGAAGGCTGTCTCCCAAGTCTTCGCCAGCTACCCTACAAAGATGTTAGGATAAGAGAAAGCTCTCCCCTGCAAATCTCAGAGCTCACCCTGGCTTAGATAAGGAGATACGGTCTTTCAGATAGTCTGGACCCAAGCCATGTAGAGATAAAGGGATAAAGACATGGAGGAAAATACCTACATATATGAGCATACCCTCCCAATAATATTTATACCTTGCCTTTACTCCAAGGAGCCCAGCACAATCCACCTCAGCACAGTCTATCCAATCCACCACTTTCTATTGAAAAGAACCCAGTAAGATAGAAACAGAGTGACTTGATATTCAGTTGACCACTCTCAAGGCTTCTTCCAGACAACTAACCAGTGCCTCCCCCCTCACAGCTGCCTCTCTCCATATATATTTAAAAGACATCTAACATTACAGGAGTATAGCCAGACTAGTCTAGATTGGTTTTGTATGGGATAGTAATTTGGGAGAGCATTTTTAATCTTGCTTTAAAGTAACAACTGGATTATTATATAGCTTGAACTAGAGGCCTGAATTCTGTGCTGTAACACTGACTAGTAGTCTAAGTCTGATGTCACTTGGGTTAACAACTATCTAGAAAGAGGCAAAGACATCTCAGTTACATTGCTGCCAATTCACCACCAACAAGGTATTCTCTGAAACGTTAGAGCTAACATCTGAAACCAGAAGGTGGAAGTGTGGATGGTTGGGGTGGGGGTGGGGGTGGAGGTTGGAATTATTTCTAGATTTTGGAAAGGGGAATGAAGGGGGTGTAGGCAAATGGGCCCAGAACCCAAAGGAAATTTGATTAACTGGGTAGATCTGGTGTATGTAAGTAATTTCAGGGCATCCCTGGAACCAACATATGCACTCAACAAATACACTGACTGCCACCATCTCACTAGGGCTCATATCACATGTGGTCTCCCCTATAAACACAGTGATTCATGAAAAGTTTCTATAGGCCCTAAGCTACTTGGTGAGTCTTGTACACAGCTCACTGTCAGCCCCTAAATATTTTTCACAGATCCTACACTTTTTCTAGCAAAGGTTGTGCATCAAGGGCTGGGAGCCAAGCTGCTGTTCTTTTGTTCCATGCCTTGTTCCAAATGCATTGCTCTTACTGGGTCTCATTCCATTTCCCTCTCTCTCTCTCTGTGTGCCAATGTTGCATATGTATGCACACATACAAACTCCCTCCATGCTGAACCAGTTAGTCCTTGCCAATTGGAAAGGGGTGGAGATGGTTGCCTAGACTTAAATGGATTCTCAGAAACAAAATTCAAGCTTCCTCTTCTACCAGTACTGCTTACTCTAAGATACATCTCTCTGTCTGGAGACTTGGGGAAATGCAGCAATTCTCTGAGATGAGCTGGCTCCCTGAAACCTGGCAACATTGATCTTGTTGTTGTTAACTGCCCTCAGATCAATCTCGACTCACGGCGACCCTATGGATGAGACATCTCTAAGACCCTCTGTTCTCCAGTGCTCTGCTTAATTCCTGCAACTCCTTAATACCTGTGACCTACTTAATAGAGTCCATCCATCTAGCATGTGGCCTTCCTATCTTTCTACTTCCCTCCATCTTTCACAGCAGTATTGTTGTTTTTTTGTTCCAAAGAGTCCTTTATTCTCATGAAGTGTCCATGGTACAACAGCCTCAGTTTGGTCAGTTTGGCTTCCAGGGAGGTCTCTGGCTCAATCTGCTCTAGGACCCATTTCTTTGTCCTTTTGGCTGTTCATGGGATCCTCGGCACTCTTCTTCAGCACCACATTCTCTCAAATGCATTGATTTTCTTCCTATCTTCTTTCTTGTCCAGCTCTCACATCTATACATGGTAATAGTGCATACAATGGCTTGTATGATTCTAACTTTTGTGCTGAGTTGTATATCTTTGCATTTTAGAATCTTTTCTAGTTCTTTCATAGCCACCCTCCCCATTCTTAAGTCTTCTTATGATTTCTTGACTGCAGTCCTCATTTCTATCAATGTTTGATCCCAGGTATGGGAATTCTTTGGGTTGCTAAGACAAGTCTGATGGGCCACTTATGTTAACATTCCTGGGCCAGGCTCTTTTTGAATGACACCTTTACTTTTTCACCAAAAAGAAGAGAAAATATTTCAGGCTCTCCTCTGCAAATCATGCATGCTTTCTGATTGCTTCAGTTTAACACACACACACCTCAACAGAGTGTGAAGAGCCTCAGCCAAGCTCTTTGCTCCCAGTCCCTTCTCTCTCCCACTCTTCCTTTCCCTCTTTTTACATCTGTACCCTGTATACATAAATCAGCTTGTCACAGCTTCTCTTGCCCCGACAGCTATAATTGCTTCAGGTTTTAAAAATATCTATAGACAATAAACACAATAAACATATGCACACACAGGAGGAGGAGGAGGAAGTGGAGGAAAGAAGAAGAAGAAGAAGAAGAAGAAGAAGAAGAAGAAGAAG